GGAGAGCCGCAATCCACAATTTACTATGCACATTCTAAAATAAATTATTGAATTTCATATTTTTGTTTAATCAGTGACATTAATTAATGACATGATATGTTTAAAGAGTAATTTAAAAAGTAATTTTTGTTCATTTTATGTTGGACAAATGTGTACTACATTACCAAAAGTATCTGTTATCGAAAGTAGATAGCAAAAAACAACTCTAAAATATGCAGTTGTATGTATTCATTGTTTTTTTTAATATTGACAATTTTATTAATTTGTTATTTATATTTTTCAGATTGATGAAACTGTCATTCCCTTAATGACAGACAATGACCTGGCAAAGTACATCCCCAAAGTTGGCGACGTCACCATCCAGGAAAGAATCTATACTCTCAAGGCTATGACAAAGACTGACAGGAGCTGAGGGAATGCCTCCTAAAAAGAAATTGTCTCAGTGGGCAGAAAATACAAATGCAAAACGAACAGTGAGACGAATTAAGGTTGGCTGGATGGATTTTGATGAGGAGAAGGGTGGGTTCAAACAGGTGAAGTCTGTAAGTGGTGGTGGAACAAGGCATTTATCTGTAGATAAAAATGAAACAGTGTCAAATATCAAACTTATGGCTGAAAATCAGTTTTTCCCCAATGGCACCTCAAAAAAAACCAAAAGTCTTTCTCACTATTCAACTCATATTGAGAGCTCACAGATGCATGTGGATGCTTCCAGTACAGTTGATGAGTTGTATAAGCAAAGTAAGGTCAAAATTCTGCGACTTTATCTGTGTACCAGAAAGAAAACACAACAGCAGCCTCAAGACGTAGAGGCCGATCATGCAATAACCCAGCCCTCTGTGGTAGATCTTACTGACAATGAACCTAATCAGGCCGCTGATGATCTGTTGGTGGAAAACATAAATTCCGAACCATCAAACTTTGTAATTAATGATGGAGCTTCCATAAGTGGATATTTGGAACTGAATGACACATTACCATGGGATGGTCTGCCAAATATAGGTGAAAGTGAAGATTCTGATGCAGTTGTTATTATTAGTGGGGGTAACAGGGTGGATATTAGTGTGGTTGAACTAAACCCTGAAACACTGTTTACAGAAAAAGAGTCTGATCCACCTCATCACACATTGTCTCTCTCACCGGGGCTAACAGGAGAGGCCAATATTCCTTACCAAGCACCCCCTGAACCACGATCTTGATCCGTAATACTGACTGTTAGAAGAGGTCATTGTCTTACTGATTTGATCAGTGCCTTTAAGGACTCAAACATTATTTCATCTGAGGTCAATATCAAAATGTTGTTACCAAATGGAGAGCTTGAACAGGGGGAAGGAAGTGGTGTTTTGCGGGACTGCCTGACAGAATTTTGGATGGATTTCTATGACAGCTGCACATTGGGAGTTGAGGTAAAAGTCCCATTCATCCGGCATGACTTTCAGTGTGAAGAATGGCAGGCTATAGCTAGAGTGTTTGTTGTAGGGTGGAAACAAGCTGGTTACTTCCCAGTGAAGCTTGCAATACCCTTTCTGGAGGAGATATTGTACGGCTCGACAACCAGTTGTTTAAAAGATTCCTTTCTTTTGTACGTCTCACAAGAAGAGCGATCTGTTCTCCTGAAGGCTTTGGATGACTTCAATTCAGTGGATACAGATGAATTGCTGGAAGTACTTGATGCACATGAGTGCAAGCAGGTTCCTACCAAGGACACACTGCTCCCTGTTTTGGCACAGATAGGACACAAAGTACTTATTCAGGCCCCAATGTTTGTAATCAAGTGCTGCCGTCCCGTTGTGGGTTCTGTAGCTGGTTTACTCCCACCAGAAGGACTGTATCATTTCATTGCAGAAAAAAAACCGACTGTAAAACCAGTGAAGGAGCTTCTAATCTTTCCAGAGGAGATGACAGCTGCCCAGTCAACAGTTTCTCATTACCTGAAAAGATACATTGGAGAAATTGATTTCAATTATCTTCAGCTTTTCCTGCGGTTCTGCACAGGATCCAATCTGTTGGATAAAGCCATACTAATTGAGTTCATAGAAACTACAGATTTCCTCCACAGACCACAATCCCACAAATGTGGATGTGTACTAAAGCTGCCCCTTGGTTATCACAGCTAACCAGACTTTCGCAGTGAATTTAACAGCATTCTCGCAAGCTCTATGTGGGTGATGGATGTGGTGTAGGTCAGTGTTACCCAACCATGGTCCTCAAGGCACTCTGCCCTACACGTTTTAGGTTTTCCACCCTAACAGTTCATAGAAATACGGGTGTAGTTAACAGTAACATGAAGGAATGAATGTGAATGTTCAATAGACTGGGTGGTTAAGTTCTCTTATCAGTGTAGCCCGTTGTGCCTTTTTAATGTGCAGCCTTTTCATCTGGTCAGTAAGTGCTTTCTTAGTTTCTCCCCCCAATTAAAATAGTAAGCTAAAGGGAATGTTCAGGTTATTTGAAGTGGAGTTGCCTGTAGTAGACAGCACTTAGCACTCTGACTTTGCAGAAGCAGCAGTTAGATATTGGGGACAAAATAAGGCAACAAATTGCTTGGGGAATGAGACCACAAAACAACACCAGTTGAAAATACATATACATATATAAATAACATTTTCAGTGCTTCACCTGGTAGGAATCCGTACACTAAACATAGAAGTGCATCTGTTCCTGCTGCACACATTGTTACTGTGTTTCTGGTTAGTGCCAAAATAAATTACTAATTTTAACATTCTAATACTTTTTTTACTACAGGAAGAGTAACAAATATTTCCAATATAGCATACAGTAACAGTTCTACAAACTGGAAGATTGCTGAGTGCTGTCTACTGTATATACATACATAAGTACAACACATTACAAATACCATATTCCAACTGATTAAGCATGTTCTATATTAAAGTATTTCAGATTTTTGCAGAAATCTTAATAGAAAAAAGAATGTGAAACTTTATGTTCCTAATGTATGGTGGCCCTGAGAGGCCAAACGGACTGCAACTTCAGAAAACACTTGCAAAAAGAAAAATGCTGCAAAAAGGAAAACGCTGCAAAAAGAAAGACGCTGCACTGCAACTTCAAGAAAAACGCTGCACTGCAAAAAGAAAAATGCTACAAAAAGAAAGACGCTGCACTGCAACTTCAAGAAAAACGCTGCACTGCAAAAAGAAAAATGCTGCAAAAAGAAAAAACGCTGCAAAAAGAAAAGCGCTGCAAAAGCACGCAAAGCACAACGGAAATAGGAAAAAAGACAACGGAAATGTTCCTGGGGAGACAATAACCCGACGGACCAGTTGCACGAACCAAAACATGCTAACCAGTGCGCTCGGACTGGGATACACTTCAAAGAAGTGGAGGAGAGGTAAATGTGTTGTAATCTCATGATTCTAATAATACTACAGATATGTTTGCAGTGTTTGGGAGTAACGAAATACATGTAACACTGTCACGTATTTAAAATACGAGTAACTGTATTCCGTTACAGTTACTGTGTAAATAGGTGGTATTCAGAATACAGTTTTTTTGTTGAAATAAATAGATTACACATCATTATTTTCCTATTTCGTATGTTAGGCTATGCCCTCTCTATTTTTTGTTAATTCCACTCTGGTGGAAACCCAAACAAAACAAGCATTAAGAGGCTCTAATGCCTGTGTCTCAGTTTCGCGGCCCATGCCACCTCTACTTGCGGCAGTATAATGACATGACAAAATATTTTCAATAATTATTGTTCAAAAAATTATTTAATATTAAGGCAATAGGCAGAGTATTACAGGCATATCGATAAAGGATGTGCCCTCATGTAGTCATGTATTTTTTTAAACGCTCTGGAACAGCATCCTTCACTCTTCTTCTCATTCATGTGCTACACTGAGACCAGGCTGACAGCTGATCTTCTTGAGAACATCTTCCATGTGCAATTTGGTCCACCTGGCAGCTCTAGGCGTCAAGAGGAGACAAGAGTACTAAGCTACTGGCAAGACTATCTGCTTTCTGTAGAAGGTATTAAATTTGGTTGAAAAGGTTGAAATGAGTACATTTATGTCAGCAAAGTGTAATGGCACCTTTTTCCTGTTTATTATCATTAGAAATAACTTTTATTCTCTTTACATTTTCAGAGAGAAATGGAAGTCTGTCTCTTGAAGACATCCTTATGTTTGCAACTGGACTGGGAGAAATTCCTCCTGCAGCAATTCAGCCAAAGCCACAACTTCTTTTCCAGACCACTTCACGCTTCCCTGTAGTAGATGTCTGTGCAAATACTATCAAAATCCCAGTGTTACACAGTTATGAGGACTTCCAAGAAGCCATGGATTATGGCATCCAGAACTCTCCTGGGTTTGGGCTTCCCTAAGGTCCAAGTCCTTTTGCTTTTAAGCCACATTTATGGTTTTAGCAAACATTTGAAGTTTGTGATTTTAAAATCTGAAAATTTTGTTTCTAATAATTTCTGTAAATCACATAAAGTTTAATGCATCGCAGAAAGTTCAATCAGGTTTTGGAATTTCAAAAGCATAGTATCATAGTGGGACAATTGAACAAGTTAGACATATTTCACTGTGTTAAGAAATTGCCAATGTAACAAAATAAAACATTTCTGAAGTATTCTAATGTACTGAGACACGCTAGTATAATAACACAGGGGAAAAAATCTGATAAATTCAGTTAAAAGGCTTTATCTAATCAAACACTTCTGTGTTTGATTACATTTTTTTGTAAGATATGCAAGTTGTTCTTGGAGTTAGAAAAAGAAAAACCCACATAAATACAGGTCTCGCTGAATGCTTTTGTAAACCTTTGTTTGTAAAACAGATCTCCAAATTAATCAATGTGTTTGTTACAACACCTAATTAAAAGGAACAAGTTATTTTGTACAGTATGGTCTTTTGATTTCTTCAGGTAGAAAGCGTACACACTGAAAAGTTGACGGTAGTGAAACTATTTATATAAAAAATATGGTACTATTTTTTTTCAATACTCATTAAAGTTGGTTTGTGACAATTAGTGTCAGTGGTAATTGTACTCACATCTAGCAGATGATTTTACATTGACTTCTAAAGTCCAGTCATATTTTTGAGTGTTATATAATTTTCAACTGCAGCAGTCCAGTTGACTGGTCGAGGGAGCTCACTCTGTCTTTCCAAGTTTGTGAAATGAACCTGGAGATTGTCGTCCCCACATAGACTGTACTGAGCAGGTAGAATGTCATCAAACTGGTGCAGGATGTCTTGAGGCACTTGGAATCCACACTCTCTTCCACCATACCTTAGGTCAGTCAGAAAAATGAACAAATTCAGTCACTTCTCCAGGTACTATCCTTCAAGGTTACAGCAAAAGCGCAAAGTCAATCTTATAATTAAAAGTCAGTTCTGGAAATTGTGATTTTAAAGAATCTTGATTATGCATATATCTACATTTGTCATTTTTAGCCAAGATGTGATCCAAAGTTAAAATATGATTGTCTAATAATTTTTTTTTTTTTTGGAAAAAAAATATAAAAATAAAAAGTAAGTGCATGAAGTCAGAGAACAGAACTAATGGCAAAACACAAGTGGCAGCTTTAATTTCTATTCAGCAAAAAGGTGAAAACAACAAAATACACTATTCAATTGCTAAAGTGTGTGTAATACCTGCTGTGAGTAACAGTTAGGGAAAATTGTTAAACCTAAATGACATACTGCTTACTTAACTCAAGTGGTTAGGTCAAGAAAGAAAAGAGTGCACATAATGGATGGACTGTTCCTGAACCATTTTATAAATGAACAAAAGGTTTAATAACAGCAAGCTGGACAGGTATCCTGCACATACAATACACTATACTGAGGAAGAAAAATTTTAGTAAAACTATGAAATAAAATCCATGGACTAAATACATACCTATGAGGCAGGTGATACATGGCTTCTGGTTTACCAGATGGACAACAAGATTGGCGCACAGGTCGGATGGTGTGAGTGTTCCAGAGATCTCTGTACTCGTCAAGCTCTTTTTGCAAGACATTGAGGAAGACATATCGTAGAAGGCATTTATGTTCATGACTGCCGTTGAAAAGATGCCTCTCCCTCAGGTCACTGAAGAGTTCAATCCAGAACTGAGTTCTAATGGTGGAATGACAAGGCATATAAAATTTAATAACACAAGTAATTCAATGTAATTGTCCTCTTTAAAAAAATAGTCGTAATCTTAAGAATATTGAAATGTGTGCAATTTCGTTCAAAGAAAAGCTTATTCACATGTTCTGAAGTGTTTCATCAATGCACTGCAGGAAGAAAAAAGCAACTTCACACAAATAACAAAATTTAACAAAATGATTAATCCTTCTGTTATTCCTGCATTTGGCGGTTGAACTTAAGAAAAGTTGTAATATACAGATCTGTCCATATAAATGTACTATTTTGTTTCTACATGAACACTGAAGCTGTTATCACTTGTTAGATACCACACAGAAATCCAAAAACTAGTGAAAACATCAGTATTTTTTTTTTGGCACACAAAGTCGAAGAAATGTCTGAAACGAATGACCTCCTCTAACAAATTTCTGTCATGTTGGATCAATGTTCTTATATTACTCATATTACAGTTCTCAAATTTGAAGAATCCCTTGTTCTTTTATTTATATGACTCCCTACAGGTAAACTATTTGATCTAGATGTTAGTTTGGTACTACGTAGGCACACAAATTTGAATAAATTTTACTCAATTTTAAATACATCAATCTTCATAATTCATAATAATTTATTAAAATGTTGAATGTCAGTTTGTTTGTTGTTTTTTATAGTTCCTTTTTAGGACTTTTGTGGAATGTCTGAGTAGGAGTTTCTTTTTGAGTGTGTTGTTTTAATACAAACAAATGTCACTGGTATACCAAACCATTTATTATATTTTTTGAAGCAGTTGTGCATCACATGAGAAAAATGTGTAGGTGACTATGTTTTTCTTTGTTTGTTTGTGACTGTAATTTAATATTTGAGTATAAAGCCCCACCCACAAAAAAAAGTATATCGCTGACCACGAAACACCTTCAGAACCATTCAATTTTAGTTTCAGAATATATTTTAAAAGCCATGTACCTTTGCTTTCTGAACGAAGACCACCAACTTTCAATCCGTTGATTTGTAGTTGAGGTACCATACATATGACTGTGGGCTCCTGCAAGTTCATCTCCATGGTCTGATCTTAAAGCACAGTGAATGGCTGCCATTGTGCCATTTTCTGTGCCACAGTCTGTACGAAGGCATGCTGGAAGTTGACCAAACCGTGACAAGCACTCCATATAATATTTTGCAATGATACCTGGGTCATTATTTGAGCTGCCACAGCTGAGCCACATAACTTTCCTTGAAAATCCATCGACACATGCACTAATAGCAACACCAAAGGGCTTCAGCTTATTATAACCATCCACATGCCACACTTGATTTGGTCCTTCTGAAAAATATCCTCTTCGAACAAACCTGCGTTTACAGCGACGCTTAACACCATATGGATCTAGTCTTGAGAGTATGTGCATTACATCATTTCTTTTAACTTTCAGATTATACTTTTGTCGCAGTGTCTGACACATGGATCTGTAACCCAGAAGCTGACCTGAGCCTCTCAGTTCTTGTGTAACAGTGGAAATGACAATGTCAGTGGGAGTAAAGTCTGTCCTTCTAGTCATTCCAGCATCTTTTAGCCTCCTCTTTAATGTTCTCAGACTCATACAAATATTATGCTTGTTTTCAGGAAAATCCAGGATCACTTCATATGTATGGCCCTCAGAGAAATACTTATTGATGATGTCTGTGACTGAGACTGGGCCTAAGGTTGAAGAGAAAACATGAAAAGATAATTATGACCGCAGGAATCCACAAATGCACTTAATAAGTGTTTTTAAAAAAAATACCACATCTGAAACAAGTCTCAATAAACATGACTCAAGTATTTAATCTTCTTGATGTGTGCTTAAATAAAGGCCAGCAAAAGCTCAAAGAACATGGACCAGGATTCAGGACTTATCACTCTCATTAAGACCTCTATGCTGACAACTCAAAATGAGCAAAATTAGAGAAGTTAGAAGAATTTCGTCACTGTGTACATATGCCCTATTAAGTCATAAACTAGTTTTTAAAATTATGCCGTAGAACCGGTGGCAGGCTTAAACCAGAATACAGTTCTTAGTACCTACCAGTTCATGCCTTTGTCATGGTCTGTGGAATGCGTGATGCTCGGGTAGCCACGCCCCCGGGCTGGGCCATCACTAGCACACCTGCTCTCCATCCCGGTGATTACGCGGAGATCCACTTAATCCGGCGCTGACGGATGCTCCACGCCAGTCCGTAGTCATCCCCACAGTGGTAACCAGACTTCCACGAAAAGTGTGCATTCTCTTCTGCTTGGAACTTTGTTTAACCTGCCTACTTCTGTCCAGATTTCTACTCGGCGTCTGCTACCTGCCTGTCCTCCGGCTCAACTGGATCTCGCGGCGCTCACCTGGCCCACTCGCCATTCCACGGACTTCCTGCCCCCACGGACTGCCAAACTTCCCTCCCGAGCTCCCACGGTTCCGTTCTATCGTAAGCCCCTACTCTAACTCAGTCCTGATATGTTCTCCCCGCTTCCTGGCTCCCTAGTAATCATCTCCCCTTTCTATTGCAGCCCCCCGCCGTCCCAATCCCGGCTTCCTCGTGTCATTGTTTCCCCGGATTTTTAGTTTCTGTTTTGCTCTCTACTTTCCCCGGGTCGCCTTTCGTTGTTTTAATAAAGTGTCTTTTTGTTAGCTCGGCGTCTGCGCCTGGATCCTTTCGTGCCCGCGCACCACGGCGCATGACAGCCTTTGCGTTTTTGGAATTCTGATTTATCTTGGCATACAGAGTCTTTATCAATACAAAAACCTTAGAATAAGGAAATGAATATAGTACTTTGGAATGGCACATGAATAATAATCCCCCCCCCAAAAAAAAAGTTTAACACGCACTACTAGAGCTACTGTGGTGTATATAAGTCATTATGAAGCAATTAAAAGGTGAGCAATAAATACTAGAACTTATAGGAAAGTGAAGTGCTTACCATTCTCTATAAAAGGTGCTAAAACTTGAATGTTAGTTCCACAGGACCCACAAAAAACTCCAATTTGCCCCACTAGCTGGATTCCACAATATGGACAATACATTGCCTGATGAAGACAATGCCAAATTAAAACCTGAACACATTAACTGCAATATTCCTTAATGACTTTGACTTATTAGTATTTGTTCTCGAGTTTCAAAAAGCTTCATTTCTAAGGCTACATTAAACATTATCTTTGTTAGAATTATCTTTGAATGTATATTCCAGATATCTGTAGTATTATTAGAATCATGAGATTACAACACATTTACCTCTCCTCCACTTCTTTGAAGTGTGTCCCAGTCCTAGCGCACTGGTTAGCATGTTTTGGTTCGTGCAACTGGTCCGTCGGGTTATTGTCTCCCCAGGAACATTTCCGTTGTCTTTTTTCCTATTTCCGTTGTGCTTTGTGTGCTTTTGCAGCGCTTTTCTTTTTGCAGCGTTTTTCTTTTTGCAGCATTTTTCTTTTTGCAGTGCAGCGTTTTTCTTGAAGTTGCAGTGCAGCGTCTTTCTTTTTGTAGCGTTTTTCTTTTTGCAGTGGAGCTTTTTTCTTGAAGTTGCAGTGTAGCGTCTTTCTTTTTGCAGCGTTTTCCTTTTTGCAGCATTTTTCTTTTTGCAAGTGTTTTCTGAAGTTGCAGTCCATTTGGCCTCTCAGGGCCACCGTACTAATGGGTTTAGAAGAAAAGTTGTCAATTACAGAGATTGGTTACATTGTAAAGAGGTTTGTATAACATTTTAGAAATAACTGTTATTTTATCCTGTTATTATATGCAAAATACAACCTGTTTTTGAGTATGGTGTATTTTGAAAGACACCAGTAAACCATTCTCATTTGTACAAAACTTTGTCCTCTCTGTTACATTCTATACATCTTTAAACATGAACAAGTCTAATGACACCGCTGAAAGTTATTTAATTACTCATTCTATAATGTCATACACGTGCTGTGATTTTTAAGAAAAGAAGCCGTTCTTTATCAAACATGGGATTGCTTTAATCTATTCCACAATAACAAAATTATAGGCTCAAGAAACATTTGGAGCATTGGTGACACAACTATGATTCTACACTTTAGCCTACTTGGTCTTCTTGTCTAATTGATCACAACAGTAGCTATATTGCCAGTCTATGTGGTTGTTATCCAAGGTGCTCTTGTTTTTGTTAGAAATGAACACATTTTTGCTACCAAAAACTATTATGAACAACTTTTGATGCTTTAACAGTTTGATAAGTTTAACTCAATCCCAAAAGGATTTATTTTTTTCTAACCTGTATCATATTTTAGTTTAATACTCCACGCTTTGTAGCTACCAAGAGCAAGCAACACTTCATGATGAGTTAATTTACTGACATGGATAAAATGAAAATTATGTTAAACAGTCTTTTCTGATAATTTTGATACAAAGACAAGATAACTACACACTGGAGAAAAACAATTACTTAATAATAAGTACATTAAGCTGTAGGAATACGTACTGAAGTACAAAATGTACTACATTTGTATGTTTGTGTCCATTTAAGTAGACTCAAATAACTGTGAACGAACTGTATCCCTGAGATGAAAATATAAATCAAGGGCCTGGGACATGGTATATGGGAATTCCAAGCTTGATTCCTCCATTATTATTGTGCACAAATCAAACACTTGCACATCACATGGGACTGAACTAACAAAAGTGCAGCTATTTTTACACAAGGTCAAATCTTCTGTCAGTGGAACGAGACAGCCTTCTGCACCCCAAAGGTGAGGGGCCATGTACATGACATCAGGTATTCCACAGGGCACGTTGTTATTCTTTGAGGGCCTTATACGGTGAGCATTCCAAACACTCCAGATGTCATTCAATACCTCCTGACAAAGAAACAAGAATTACGTCAGAACTGTAATACAAGGCATTTTTAAAATGGTCGAAAATAAGTGTGGTGCATCCTTAAATGAATTGAAAAGCAGCAATGTTTGGATGCAATTTAATGAAAACCAAAGGAAGAGGGAGTGATTGCAAAAAAAAGAAAAGAAAGAACCACACCAGGCAAATCACTGAGTTGTGGGATCTGGGCTTTATACTAATACTAATACTAATCTTGGTCCGGATGCGCAAAGCTTTTCAACTTTATGCGCATAATACAGGTGACAAAATCAATATTTTTCAATCCCATGAGGGGATCCAATATCATCTGAGTCCTGAATGTACCAATGATAGAGCGCTGAAGAGTTACTGATGCGTGAAGCCTGACTGCTTTTCACAGACTGGTAGTGACAGATCGGTAGCTGCAGCATAACTGATGCAGAATGAGCGCAGACAAGGATAATGTCCTCCGATCAGAAAAAAACAACATTTAAGTCGTGCTGACTTCTGATCAGTTCAATTGGCAAAGTGTTCCCTGATTTAAAAACTTTGGCTGGGTCGATGCTTCAGCCTCCATTACGCACATACAGAGTGCAGTTGACCTACTTCAACAACGTTAGGAATACATTGCATTTACCGTTTGGTAAAGGTAATGTCGTTTTAACTATGTAAACAATTATTTTGTTACCCTTACTGCTAAAACAGTGTAACTTAATGTAATTAATTACCACCACTGGTTATCATAATATGGGCCATTTACCTGAATGATTGGCATGAAGCAGAACTGTGACAGAGCTTTGTCAATGAAATCCCCAAAGAAGAATCCTTCGTCCTTCAGTTCTCCTAGAAGCTTGATCCATGACTCGACTCCTTCTTTTCTCATCACTGCCCACCAGCTCTCAATTCTCTGGTTTGCCGTACTTGCTCCTGTGACATAGCTTCTGTCTCCTGCTCTATCATCCCCGTCATTTCTCTGTAAATAACGCTGGAGGTCTCTGACCAACACGTTCTCAGTGCCCATGTCAGTTCGTACGAGCCTGGGGAAACCCCCACGACTCTCCACTGCTTCCACAAAGTAACCTCCGATAACCTTTGGGTCACTGTTAGTGTGTGCGGCCCGCAGCCAAATGATGTTGCGTGAGAAACCGTCGATGCATCCATTAATACATATCCCATATGGCTTTAGTTTGTCATAAGAGTCTATGTGCCACACAAAGTTAGGCCCCTGAGCAAAATATTGCCTCCTTCTGAGACGTCTGGTCTGGCGAACCTGGGAACCTACTGGGTCCTGTAAAGAGATGAGGATCCTGACGTCTCCTTTCCTGATCGCAATGCCGTGTTGTTTGCACTTTGTAAACATCCACCGATAACCGTGATCCTTCCCAGGCCCTTGCAGTTGGTTCACAATAAAATCTATCCCGGCGTCCAGGTCGTACTTACGTCTGTAAAGCGACTTGGCTCTCAATATCCAGTTTAAATGTCTCTCCGTAATGATGGTTCCTTGCATTGCCAGGCTTTTCAAAATGCGTTTGTAGCTCATTCCCAGCCTAAAATAAAACTCAATCAGACTGTCTCTGTCCATGGTGTATTTAGCCTATTTTTATGCTTGTGTCTCTACGCAGCTGTCCAGGAATTCTATCAATAAGATGTGCGCACGTTATCTATTTCGTGGCCACAAATGCGTAATTCGTTGCCACGTTATACCCAATTCGGGCCCACAAATTAGCATTTCGTGCGCACGTTATACCTATTTCATGCCCTCGAAATAGTCTGAAAAGAGCTCTCAGCGAAGGCGGTCGCACTTTTCTCCTCTCCTCCTCACCCTTATCTCCCCTGCTTAGCCTCTATGTCCTTGTCTTGTCTTGTGTGCATTTACTTTCCCTGGAACAGTCTCTCACTGTCGTTCTCTAAAACCTAAAAGAGAATTATGGATTTGATCAACTGGTCTCTGAGTGCTATTGACACCCTTTTCTCAACGAGAAGTCGGGGCTCGGGAGAGCCTGAGTGCCCTGGAGGGACTTTCCCTGCCGGTTACACGATGGACGGGTGGCAGAACTGGAGGACCGTGTGCCTGGCGGGACTGTCGATCGAGGACGCTGAAGATATCTACCTATTCGGAACCATGATAACAGGGTTCATGCTGATCGGCGTTGGCTTAGCCCTGGTTTATCAGAGAAATAAGAGAGCGGAACCGGCTTTTCAAACCCCCACAAGGCTGCCCGCTGGATTCGAAGCGACGGGACGAGGCGAAACCTCTCACAACGAACGTAATATGGTCAACACCTTGGAGACGCTTACAGCTGCTGTGAAGGCTCAAAACAACACCATTGAGCGTATGAGGGGAAACATCAGCGAAAGGCCTGCTCAAAATGACACCCTTGAGCGACAGTTGGAAAACATCGCGGAACGGATCACTGCAGTTGTGAGGTCTCAGAATCAAAAGACTGACAACACCATGGAACAGAAGTTTGATACCATCATGGGGAGGCTCGCGGCTCTCCAACGGGAGATCGAGGGACCAGTGTCAGAGGGCTAAATTCGAGCTGCTCACAAAGGAGAAATCAACAATATTCAACATTTGGACACCACGGCGCCAGCTGCTAGGCCCAAGGCTGGAGCCCACCAAAACAACTCCCTGATAACGACTGTGTGATGACTATTCTTCCTGTCCCATGAAGGCCACCTGGGTTGGCTGGCAGACTGTTTACTTAGCCTGATAGAGCGAAGGACACTGTCTCCGCTGAACTATGGACACGCACACACATACACTTACACTGATAGGCACTCACTCATCCCCCCTCCCTTTCCAACGCCTTCGATGCTTGTTTCCGGCGAGGGAACACGGCGGGTCTGTGTGCCGCGCTGGAATGATAGCGCTGTGCAGGGTGGCTGCTGTGTTTCTTCGGATTACTCCTCACCCCCCACCCACCCCTGTGGCTTGTCATGTCTTCACAATGTTGTGCTGTGGACATTTATGTGCTTTTTTGTGCAAAGGAGTTTTTTGTTTCCTGTTCTCATGCTGTCCTACCATGGAAGCACAGCATGAGTAGGGGTCTCTTTTTTCCTCTTGTACTTTCCCCACTGTAGTGTACATTTCAATGTTTTTTCTTTGATTCTACCAATCTCCGACCTGTATCCCCATGTAATGTTTGTGCTATATGTGTAAGGTCGGGGGGGGCAACCTGCATGTGACGAATAAAGCTTTGATTGATTGATTGATTGATTGATTGATTGAAATAGTATTTCGTGGCCACAAATAAGTATTTCGTGGGCACGTTATACCTATTTCGTGCCCTCGAAATAGTATTTCGTGGCCACAAATAAGTATTTCGTGGGCACGTTATACCTATTTCGTGCCCTCGAAGTAGTATTTTGTGGCCACAATTTATTTATTTTTTGGACCATGTCATCAGAGGGGCTCCGTAGTACTCTGTAGCCAGTAGGAGAGGTGGGATTTCTGTGAAAGCCAAATTAAATGTGAATAGGTTTTGATAGTTATTGTATAT